CGCATTTTGTTATGCCCTCCACACCCCCTGCTGTCACATGGGTTGGGCTTGTACAGAAAGGGATCCAAAACACACACACAGAGGGGGGAGAGAGAGGGGAGGGGAGGGGGAGAAGGAAGGAAGGAAGGAGGGAAGGCGGATCTGTGAGCCCTGACTCCAGGACTTCCTCAGCAGACCAGAGCAGAGCAGAGCCTGCAGCGCAGTAAGTTGTCCTATTTAGCGCCATCCACTGTTAATTTTTCCTGGTTTATTTTGCCCTGTTGAAGTTGGCCACTTAATGTAAGTGACCTCGGCAGAGCACAAGTCAAATAGTGTGTTCTTTAGTCTGAAATCTAGTGCAGCGTCTCGGCTGACCCTCACACTGGGCCAGGTAACAGGTGACAGTCGGAGTTAAACAGTAGCCTATAATTTCCTATAGGCCTAATACCCTCGTGCATGTGGCTGCGTGGTCGTTGCTTTATGCTGCGTCTGGACGGAGAATCCTGACAGGGGAGAGTGAGAACTGACTTCACCGACGTTATAATAGCCTGATGACTTTCAGCTGGACACTTAATCCACTTCCACTCACGTCCGCCCTAATCTTAACATCGCGTATATGGAATAAGCGACGTCATGCTGATAGAAAACGCGGTCAAAAAAGAGCAGATGTTTTTCCAGCGGTTCGTTGTTCTGCAGGAGCTTTGTGCTGTCTGTTTGTAGGCTATTAGGCAAAGACAAACATATCGTTGCGAAACGATTTACTCCTGTAAACTAAGCAGCCTTATATGCGCTTAACCTTTTCAGTCTGCAGAATAGCACCTTGCATGCAAGTAATGACGTAAGCTCAAGTTAGGTAAGTACATTTTTGTGGTACTTGTATTTATGTCAATGATCCGGCAATATAAAAATAGGCTGTGCAGTATATAACACTTCTAAATAAAGAATACTTTTACTTCGGCCATTTTATTAGATACAGCTGTACAATTGTATGCCAGTCAATGCAACACTTCCACCTTAAACATCTCTTTAAGAAGCTAAAAATGTTTGTTTTTGGTCATAAATGTATAAATTCAATATATGCTTATTATTAAAGCCAAGCTTAAAGGTGGTGGTGTACTGGACTACATTATATTTAGAGGTGTCTCTATATGTTTGTCCTCCCCAGCTACATACTCTATATAAAAAGGGTCAGAATATTAGGAACATGTCTGAATATATTGTAGTCCAGTACAGCACCACCTTTAACTATGACCTCAATGATAAACATATAATTGTATTCATAGATTTATGAAAATTTCACCAAAACCCGAGACATTTTGAGCTTCATAAACACAAATGTTAAGATGGAAGTGCTGCATTGAATTGCTTACAGGTGTACCTAACAAAGTGGCTTGTGAGTGTACAGTATATTGTGCTGATAATAGCACTAGCCGATCAAGGTCCTTGGCTTGAAAAATGACAGAAAATGACAAAAAAAGAAAACATTCACAACATCACCACACACACAGGCAGGACCAAACACATATTACGTTCTGAGCTTCTACGATCTTTTCAAAATCTGTGGAAAATCTGCGGTGGTGTCTTCTGGGCCTGATTAGAAGCAATAATTGTGGCCAAAATGCTTCTTATAGTAAAACATATAAAAAATAAATAAATAATTAAATAGGCCTACATGTAGCTTATGTTAAGAAGTGAAAAGTACAGCAAAAGCTTTATAAGTGCTGGAAACAGTTATTATGTAAAGAAACAAAAACCTGTACTGAAACCTGTACGTGTGTTACAAATTATAAGCATCAGAAATGTAAAGTACGTAAAACAAAAAGGAGTGTGTGCATTACACTGCAAATATGCAGACAGTATAGGAATAGGTATTAAAACAGGGCTGGAGATGTAGTCTGATAGTGTCATGCATGATAACAAGCCTCATCAGTGTCCAGCAGTAAGTGAGGACTACAGAGTGATGGCCAGCAGGAGGAAGGGTGCAGTGGTAACAGGTCAATTGCTGTGATTATCCAGAAAGGCATTAACGAGGTAAACTGTATCATCCATGATGCTCATTTGCCTGAGCAGCTTCTGTCTGACACCTCCATCAGAGAATTAAGTTCCCCTGGAGGAATGAAACCAGCCACACTGTTCATCCTGTGGCTTTACATCACATTAGGGCTGTAATCTGATTAAAGAGGCCTTCATGGAACTGCAGCTGGTTTTGTCTCCAGATCAGTAATGTTAACTTTCTATGGGATGGTATATGAAAGCTTTTAAATCCATATTTTCTAGGATCCACTGACTGTACTCCAGTAGAAGTCCACGGTCTTCCTTGGCTTTGCCATGACAAATTGATACAGTATTCATGAGCCTGAATGCTCTTTACAATAGCATAGCGAGATGAACCTTTCCCCATGGGTAAAAGCTTGCTCTTGAGCCCCGTACACAAGCTATCACACATAGATTTCTGTTAAAGAAACCTGACCATTTTGTCACATGACACTCAGTGTTTGTTCGCTTTCTGTATAATTTGTTTAGTTCAGTAAATGGTACAGCCCAAGGCATCAGTTGTACTCAGCGGCCCTTGTGCTTTCCTCTCTCAGATCATGGATGATGAGTCTGCGCCACGTCCTGTTCGTCCTACGTTTACGTGGCTTGTGGGAGCGTCACAGGTGCTGGGTCTGGCATCTGTGGTACTGAGCGGTGTGTGGATGGGTCACTACCATGGGGGCTTTGCCTGGGATGGCTCAGAGAAAGAGTTCAACCTGCACCCTTTGTGCATGGTGCTGGGGCTGGTCTTCCTGCATGCTGACGGTGAGTCCACCCTGATCACAGATCGATGTTTCACCAAACAACACGTGAATGTAGCTCACGAGCCTCGATAAATAAAAAGTACCCTGCATGTGTCCTGATGATGTTACAGGCATTTTTGGCAGCAGATAGTCAGCGAGTGTCAGTGGTGGCTGCTGTTATTCGTTCCATGTCCCTTACAAAGATGAATGTGACCCATGAACAGAAAAAAACAATACTGCATCTGACAAAAAGGTCAGAATTGAGCATTAAAGCCTGTAATGTGAACATAGTGTTGGAGGGGGAAAAAGTGGATTTGGGCTAATTCATCAGGTGATGAATGTATCCAGAGTCAGTGGCGCTTAATGAAGGTAAAACATGATTACTTTGTGAGCTTAAAAAAAGAGCCCCCATGCAAAGCTGTCAGTGCAGCTGTGCGTAGTCATGGTTGCATTCATTTTCAGATAATATCTGAAAATCGAGTGAAGTCTCTTGTGTGTATATGTGTTTTGTTGAGTGTGCACTTGTGTGTTTTAACCTCAGGTACTGTTTTTCTGACCTGTTGCATTAAGCTAACGATACCCAGATGGCCATTAATTCCCCCCTCGCTCCTACCAAAAAAATCTGACTTGTACAGAGAGAGCGAGTGAGAGAATTGTTTTGATCACTGAAGAGTTGTCTGGTTTTTGTGACATGACCAGTGAAGCCGTGACAGGGTGGTCCATTGGGGATTTGAAACGAAGGCACAGAAAACACCAGCCAGCAAGCTGAGCAGCAGCCTTTTTTTTCTCCAGCTACAAAACAGAAGGCTCCATGCTACTTGAAATGATAGTGTGAAAAAGACAACACTGTTTAGCCTTTATGTGAAAATTGTAAGCAATACCCAAAGCATCTTGTTCAAGATATCCACACTTTTCATTTCCAGCATGCTGTCAGCTACTTCACGCTGTGTTTGTAGTCGTGTATCCTCCACCTGATTGTCTTCTCACTTGCTAAAAATGTCCACTTGCCAAAGGTCACCAGAGCTGATATGAGAGTCGTGTTTTTCAAAGAACAGTGACTTTAACATAACATACGGTATGCATGCTACAGTCTCATACTGCAGTGAGTCCTGAGGATGTCTGTAGTGAAATAAAAACAAAGTGAGATGTAGCTGGTTTTCTCCCTCATTGGTTTTGTGCCTGGAGCTCTCAGAACCTTTGCTAATGAGAGTAACTGCATTAGTTGAACTGGTTCAACAGGACAGCTGTCTGTTCCACAGCAAGATTACATTAGAGTGATAACAGGAAAGGTCGGCCAGACATTAGAAGTGGACTGAGAAGGATGGTTTATAAGAGATGGAAAAACCCTGGGGGGGAGTGTCACCTCTTATAGAGACACACACACACACCCCCAGTGCCAATCCAATGTCACATCTGCCTTTATTTCCTCAACACATCCACACTGATGCAGATAGTCAACAGCGCGGAGTTCTTTACAATGACTGCTACATGATCGGTTTTTGGGAATTGCCTGTCATGTTTATTCTTCCATTGTGAAGCTGCTCAGTGGAAGTGGTACAGGTGGCCAAAAGAAAGAATTTAACACACACAGCAGCTGTGTAGAGTTCAACACTTTGCTCCAGTAAGAGGAAACGGCAGGAGCCTCAAGGACGATGTTCAGGATGCTCTGTTGGCCTGGTAGGCACATCTTTACACCTTCCATATGTGCTGTAATCCTCACTTAATAGTTCTCCCGTGTCTCAGACATTATAGTATTAAAGTAATTATAAGCATAAACGTTATTGCCAAGTATTGTCAAAAGTACAAGGAATTTGACTGAAGCCCAATGGCCCCCAATGTGCACAGCAACATAACAGAATAAAACCAGAACTACGAGTAAAAAAAAATGTAACTCATACATACATACAAGTTTTAAAAAAGAGCTACTAGATGCTACATCATTGTCATCATCATTGTTGCGCAGTGGTGTTTACTACATCCTGCCATACCCCTAGACATAGACTAACTGTTCATCACTGTGATGGCCCTGGGGAAGAGACTGCATCTGTGTTTAGCTGTTTTGCCATATAGTGACCTGTACCCCTCTTCAGAGGGGAGGAGTTCAAACAGACTATGTCCAGGATATGAGGGCTCTGCAGAAATCTTCTCTGCCCTCCTGTTGAACCATGAGGTGTACAGGTCCTCCATGTAGGGCAGATTCGCACCGGTGATCTTTTCTACAGTCCTGACTGTCCGCTGGAGTCTGTTCCTGTCTTGTTTGGTTGCTAAACCAAACCAGACAGTGATGGATGAGCAGAGAACAGACTTGATGTTTCCTCTGTAGAACTGTATCAACAGTTCCTGGGACAGATTGAACTTTCTGAGCTGACGCAGGAAGTACATCCTCTGCTGTGCCTTCTTGGTGATGGTACTGAGGAACAAGCGGGTGTGGGTAGAATTTGAATTGAACGGGTAGTAAGAACAGGAAAAAGGCAAAGACTGGGTCTGAGATGAGAGGAAAAAACATGGGCTAGAAACACGACCAGGACCTAAGAATATGGCAGTCACTTCTGTTTATACAAACTTCTCTCTCTCTCTTTCTCCAGCTATCCTGGTCTACAGAGTATTTCGTCATGAGCCCAAGAAGAATGTTAAGCTGCTCCATGGCACAATTCACCTGCTTGCCCTCATCATCAGTATTGTAGGTAAGAAAGAGACAGAGGTGTGAAAGTAAAGGACTTAACACTGTGCATGTATGTGAGTGAGACAGAGCAAGAGACACCTGAACTCTTTGCCAGTGTCTTACACCTGAAGATGTTCCCTGATGCCTCTGTGTAACCCAGTTTGTGTTTCTGTGCAGGCTTTGTAGCTGTATTCGACTTCCACAGAGCAGCAAAAATCCCAGACATGTACTCTCTACACAGCTGGTGTGGCATGGCTACCTTAGTCCTGTTCTGCTTACAGGTGTACATACACACACACACACACACACACACACACACACACACACACTATTTGTAGCTCAAGTGTAATGTGGATTAAACGGTAATGTGACATTTTCATCCCCACCTTTTCTCTTAGTGGGTGATGGGTTTGCTGTTCTTCCTGTTTCCTGTTGCGTCATCATGGTTACGAGCCTCATACCTCCCCATCCATGTATTCTCTGGTCTGGTTCTGCTGATCATGGCTATAGGCAGCAGTTTGCTCGGCATCACTGAGAAACTCCTCTTCAGCATCACGTATGTTTGTCTCTCTGAGTGTCTGGAGCTGCTTGCGTTTCCATTCATCTCTTTGCTCATCGTGACAAGCATACACAATTTCATACTCAGATCCAGCAGTATCTAACCATGCGGATGGTTTTAGATTTATCTGCCCAGGTTTTGAGATATGTCATGTTCTACTGCTACACCCATACAATGGAGTTTGTGATCATTTCTTTTGTTAGAAACTACAATTTTTTTTTTGAAAATGTTTTCAATTACACCAAAAACTGCAGGTGCCAATGCTGTAAGCCTTAAAATCTTTTAATGTGGATATTATATGGGAATTACAGTGCAAGTTGAGGCACAAGGCACAAAGGGTTTGAAGTGTCAGTTACAGAGGGTCAACCCTAGCAGTAACTTAAACACCGATATGGATGGGAGAGTGAACAGTTACCCATGAGGCTGATATCAGAGATAAAATACAGTAACATGCTGGATCGTCTACCTGTGAATCCCTCACACATTTGTAAGAAATTTGAACCCATCGAAGGCTTGGCGGACTCCACCACTAACAAAGAAAACTATTATAGGCTATAGAAAGGCATTTGCTAAAATGTGCCCAACTATGGGGTCTAATTACCTGAACGTATTAAGCATTCTAACTTTAAATCTAACTATCCAGCAATGTAGAAAACTGTTGCTCAGATCCATCAACTTTTACATTTTATTTTGAAACCACCAAAGAGGACGGTGGTGACTTTATAGATACACAGATTGGCTCCGGCCATTCTGATTTACTGTACACTGAACAGATTTATCTCTTATGTTTAATACTGGAAATCCCCGTCCTGTATCTGTGTGTATCCCTTTCTCCCTCTGTTACTGTATGCTTTTCAGTCCCATCTGTGTTTATATTTGGTGTCTGTCTCTTGCTCTATCTCCTCAATATCGCTCTGTCTTTCTGGGCCCAGGCTGACCTACTCCACGTTCAACCCAGAGGGGGTACTGGCTAACGTTTTGGGGATCCTTCTGGTGTGTTTTGGGGTGCTGCTGGGCTATCTGATCACCAGGGAGGAATACAGACGCCCGCCCAACCCAGAGGAAGAATCTCTGTCTGTACACTTCAAGACTCTGACCGAGGGGGGCTCGCCCACCACGCCCTAATCTCTAGTCACCTGACACTCCCACCGTTGTTTGGATATAACGGTGTCCTACCAACAGACTAGCCTCTGCTACCAGTCTCTGTTAATATCTAGCTGCAAAGTCATCCGTTTCCATGAATGTGGTCAGAATGTTTAGGCTTTGTTCAGTGAGGTCAATAAAAATCCCAGACAAGAGCTTTAATGATTATCTCGGGCTCCTGTTAACTTACCAACCTGACCCCATCTTACAGACTGCTGAACTTTCCAAGACTATTTTATTTTTGTGATTAATGGAAGAAGCACAGTACTGTAAATGTCCACTGTAGTATCACACAAAATCAGCATCTCTAATATATAAATTTAACATTTTATATAGGAATAGCAGAGACAGACAGGTCCTCATTTAATCCGGCTTTAAGTAGGAACACAAGCAGCCCAGGTTGACCAGTTAAAGTTCTTTTGTTCTCCATGTAGCCACTGTAATCCTGACATCTAGAAGGCACAGTGTACCTTCAGTGGCAACATGCAGCTTAAACTCTTTGTCCTGAATTAACTAGATTTTCTAATGGATTACTACAGTATCTGTGGACTCCCACTGAAGTACTGCACAGTCCTAAAGAGATTCAAACTTGGTCCATACCCATTTCTTCAACACCTGACCTGACTTGACTGAATCCAGCTGGAACTGCCAAGCATGGCACCCAAACCTGACCTGAAGCTTTATTTTTCACTTGTCACTGACT